TCGTCGTTGCTATCATAAGTTCGCTGGGAGTGCCGGCCCAGCCGATGCTTCAAATCCTGGGTTCGTCGGTTGCGTGCTTCGCGTTCTCGTTCCAAACGGGCGGGAGAATCCCCATCCCGTGCCTTTCCAACATCTCTTTCGTGGGAGATCTGGGTGGGACGTGACTACGCGGGACCCGCCGCTTTCCACACCTCGGCCACGCGGGCTTCGATGGGTGGCGAAATCGCAAAACGAAGTCGGGGTGCCCAGCTAATCAGTCTGGGCCCGTACAACGCGCAACTCAGCCAGCGCAGCCTGCATTTCAAATAATTGCTGCTCGACCCTAGAGACTCGGTTTTCAAGCGTTGACATACGTTCATCCCATTGCTGATCGACCCTCGGCGATCAAAGCGTCGACGAAGGCAAGGCGTTCTGGAGCTCTTGCCTCAGTGTTGCTGCCTGCGCAGCAAGGCCCGACAACTGTTGGGTCGTGCTCTTTCCAACCAAGTCTCTAAACTCTGTCATATCGCAGGCTGAGGGCGACGCTTGCGGTGCGATGTCGCGCCGCTGGGAACCCTTCCGTGAGCGCCTCTGGGAAGGGCGGCGGCTGTTGTTCCTATTTGGAGACTGGAGACGATACCGCTCGTGGCTCTTCGCTGCGAGGTCCGTCCTGTGCCATCTTCGATGACTCGCACATGTTCTGACGCAGGGACCATGATGGGGCTCACGAGACGCCGTGCGTCCAAGCGGCGGCGTCGGGCGGAAACGCTCAGAGGAAACGCGTCACTGGCGCCACCACCGCGGGTGTGTCCACCGGCGAAGGTTAAAGGAGGAGGAGGAAGCGAAATGAATCCAGCGGTGGTTTCGAGGACAACCGCGGGTGTTTCCACCGGCGAGGGCTCCGAACTAAAAGTGGCGCCAGGAAGAATCATGGTCGACTGTGCGATATGTCCAAGCCCTGGCGTGTGAGATGTCACTGGCGCGGGAAGCGGGGAAGAGTCCATGACTGCTTCGAGTTCCGTTGCACGTCTGGCATCGGCGCGGCCTTATCCGCGGAGGAGGGATTGCGGCATCATGCTCTGTCCCATTGCCCTTTACGTGGCGTCGTAACGCCCCCGTTCCGTCGAACACCCAACGCGCATAGAGGCACTGATCCCCATGGGGTCCAGCGCCATACGACTGAGTCAAAGACGACGCAGGGTGTCACGACGGAGGGCGACATATACTAGGCTGATAACCTGTGTATGTAAGTTGACGACCGAAGAGTCGAATTTACTAGTGTGTCCGTAGGCAGAGGAAGGTCAGGGAGAGGGTCGCGATCCCATTTCCCCACGCGTCGCGGGCAAGCGGCGCGGTACCAATGTCCAATAGTTGTTCCGAGACGGTAGCAGGATAGATGGATAGAAAACTGATAAGAGCGGACTTCACACACAGGTTTGCTTTGCTGGCCGTGAACGTAGTGGACGCCGCATACGAGAACCCGATGCTGAAAACGAGCCACCTTACATGCGCACGACCTTAAACGAAAGAACATCCCAACGATTGCACAAGTTTGGTAATCAACTGCCCTTCACCAGTGCAGCTGCTGTGAACTTGCTCGTTTTGCACACCTCAGAGGTCAAAGAAGTCCTGAACGAAAGTGCCACAGTAAACAAGGACCCCCAACCGCCCCTGCAACCATTGCAACATGGAAGGCAACTGTGCGCGGTACTGCAAAACAGATAGACACATCCTCATTGAAAAAAAGACCGTGCCCCATCCCTGAAACTGCTGCACCGTCAAGGAAAATGCGGTACGTTAAGGCGGGCGTCCTTTTTTGACAATAAAAGAAAAGGCCCACCCTCCACCTTCTTTGAAGATGTTTTTCAAAAGGAGGCGTGGGGCGCGAGCGCGAGAGCGCCACTTGGGAAACGACACCCTTCCACACTTGAAGTTGGCAGTGACTGTTGAGAAGAATGCGAGCGACGCTAGTGCGAATCCATGTTTAAAGCTGTTGCGCAGTTTCAAAAGCCTGCGCCACATTAGGGCGAGGTGCACCCAGTTTGAAAACGGCCCGCCCTCCATCCTTGAAGACCTTCTGTGCTAAACGAATGTGCCTGGCGCAAGCGCGACAACCCACGTTCGAACACAACCCCAACCACACATCAAGCTGCTTCACACTTTGTAGAGAAAAAAGCGCGCGTCGCTGGGGCGAAGGGCCCATGTGGGAAAGGAACAATATTCCACCGCCGAACCTGTTGCAGTCTTTAAGAAGTGTGCGCGGCACTATGGCGAGATACTCCACCTGGAACCACCCATGAAGCGCCTTCCACCCGTGAAGATGCTGCAGGCGTTGAGGGAAAAATGAACGTGCGCGGCGCCAGCGCGAAAGCTACATTATGAAAGCGACGTCCATACACACTTGAAGCTGTTTCAAACGTTGGGCAAATGCGCGCGGCGCTTATGAAAGCCCCAGCTTGGAAGGAGCCGTACTCCATCCCTGAAACAAGGTGCGCGTGGCGCTCAGGCCAGGTGCCATGTGTTGTAAACGATCCGCTCACCATCAACGAAGATGCTGCAAATTCTTAAAACGAAACTGCACGGCGCAAACGCGAGAACTTCATTACGCTGGAAGCTGTTGCAGACGTTAGGTGCAATCGTACGTTGTACACATCGCGAGGACGAGGGTACCATTGTAAAAACGACCCCCATCCACACATGAAGCAGTTGCAAACTTCTGGAAACGACTCTGCGCAACGCCAGGGTGAACACACAATGTTGATCACGACACTGCTACATCCTTGAACCAGTCGCAAGCCTGTGAGACGAACGCGCGCGGCGCTGGGGCAACAGCTCCGTTTTGAAAACGATCCATCCTCCATCCTTGAACCTGTTGCAAATTTCGGTGCTCCAAAACCATACATGAGGAATGCGAGATCCCCGAACCCGCCCTACCAACAGGTCTGGGTGTAAGACGGGGAGGAGTCATGTATAAGGAGCATGGGTTGAGCAGGACAAGGGGAAGGACAAGCTAGGCGCGCTCGCGCCATACCTGACATCCGATTAGTCCCTCCCATCACTTCTCATTGCGATGATCGCCCCTCCATCCGCGGACGCGTGTCATAGCCGACCTGGACTTCCACAGTGGTGCCTGTGAGACCTGAGACACCTGTCGGACCTGTGGAATTTGTAAGACCTGTGGGACCTGTGAGGCCTGCGAAGCCTGTGGGGCCCGTGGCATCGGCGGGACCTGTGGGACCTGTGAAACCTGGGGGCACCCCTGTGGGAACTGGAAAAAACATGCGACGCCTGTTCAACCTGTGGGACCTGTGGAACCTGCCGAACCTGTGAGACCAGTGGGGCATGGGAGACCTGTGACGCCTGTGGGACCCATGGTAATTACCTGTTAAACCTGTGGTACCTGTGAGACCTGTGGGACGACCTGCGACACCTGTGGGTCCTGTGGGACCTGTGGGACCTGCGAGACCTGCGGACCCGCGAGACCAGTGGGAACCAGAAAAGTGGCCCACACTGGGGCGGGAGCGCCATTCTGAACGGCAGGAGCACAACGCCGACCCGAAAATGAGGCCCACGCTGCTGAAACACTGATACCAATCAGATAGAAAAAACAACCGGGCCCAATCCTGTATAAAAAACAAACGCGGAAAAGGGGGCAGGACATCTTCCGGACAGGGTCAGGGGAGAGAGGGAAGTAGCATTTATAATGAAGAGGAAAAGGAATAATGAGGGGCAGAAGAGGAGCAGGATGAGCAGAATGAGCAGAGGACGAGTGGAAGCCAACGGAGGGAAAATGACGGGGACGGCAACGGCGAGGAGGTAATAGGATCTTGAAGTGTGACCCGCGCTGTGGCGAGAGCGCGACGGGGGCAAGGCACCGATCTTGGAAGGCCGACGCCGCAGCGTGAGCACCAATTCTCAAGACCCAAAGACGTTCCGATCGCAGACGCACATGGGCAATACAGAATGATGGAACCCCGTGTGCGAAAAATGAAAATACATAAAAGAAGTGCGAGCAAATGCGCGCACTGCCAGTGAAGGGAGACAAGCAATGTTCATATCAAGCTGGGTGCACTCGGGCCATATTTAACCCCCTAGCAGGCCCACCCATCCCCATTGCGCTGAGTGAGGTCGTATCCATCCGAGAGGAGCCTGGTCCCCCGAATGACTCCTATCGTGCGAAGCGCAAACAGAAGGGGGGGTTCTGTAACTGGCAAAAGGAGGAGACGGTGGCGGATGGGCACGAGGATGAGCAAGAGCCAAATGATGACGATGAGGGAGGAGGGGGGGAATCGGATCCCGAAATGTGGCCCGCGATCAGGGGAAAGCAACAATCAGAACGGCGGGAGCAAGGCATCGATCCTGACAAGCTACCAGCGCCGCAGCGGGAGCATCCGTTCTGAAGGACCAACAACGTTCCGATTGAACAACATAAGAAATACGAAGTAAAATAATAAAACGCGAAGGAGGCGGGAGGAACCGCGCGCAGTCAGGGGAGAGAGGAGAGCAGCACTCGTATCGACAAACTGTAGAAGGACATGCAGAGGGAGTAGATACAACCCTGTGATATTCTGAGAATTGGAAGATCACTTGGGCAGCTTGGAGGGGAAGGGCCAGGCCTCCGAGGGATCGATTACTTGAGGCAGAGAACCGAGGCGTTCAGGGCGAGATTGCGCCCCACAGCATCGCGTGCGCTCCTTCGGCTTTACATGTAAGGATGGCGAGAATCTAGCCCACGTGCAAGTCACTCAAAAACGCTCTCAACGCCACGATCTGCTGACATATCATTACACCCGTCGTGTATGGACTGTCTCAGAATACCGGGTCAAGCAACCACCTTTGTACGAGACCTTCGACACGTTGGCTCCCTCTGCTGCTGACCGGGGGTGGCCGTAAAATGCATTTAAGGTATGGGACACACAGCTATTCGATAAAGAGCGGCTGGGTGTCCGATTTGTTCAAAATAAGCGCCCAAAGGAGTTGCAACTGAAGCGACGCTGCAAGTTAGATTCCCACGGGGGCGCCTATGAGCTCCCCGCAGAAGAAATCGTGCGGCGACGACTCCACTGATGACAGGTGCCGCCGCTGTCTTTGCCCGATGACGCTGTGCATTCGTGCGAGGTCGATGCCAGCACCACCTGGAGCTGCAACGGACTCCAACACCTTAGTCACCTCGGCGCCCGCATCTCTGAGCCCCAGCTGCTCCACGTCCGCATCCTTTAGGCTCACGTTGATGAGGTAGGTCGTCTGCTCCAGCATGCTGAAGGAGACCTTGCCGCAGAGTGGGGGCGCCGTCTCAGCCAAAGCGCTCCGCAGCGGCGAGATTGAGTCCTGGGTGAGGTACGTCAGCAGGATAGACAACGCCGTGATATTCTCATGGTTGCCCCATCTCGGCCCGTGCCACGCAAACTCGACGATCGCCCCAGTCTTCTCGTCCTCCGCTGGGAAGTCTATGCGCTCAGTCACCTCGCCCTGAGGTTTCGGCAGCTCTGAGGAGAAGGGCTTCTGAAAGGGTGGCAACGAACGGATGCGCTCGCTCTCTTTGATGGACGCTACCACAGGGGCGCAAGCCTCGCACAACTCCTTGCCATCCGCCTGCCCTGTGACGATGACGCACAAATTGTCGGGGCGATAATACGTCCTGTGATAATCGATGACCATCTTGTTCGTCAGATCACGCAGCTCTTTTAATCGGCCCCCGGTCTCGGACTTGTAGCTGCACTTGCCCGGGTAGGCGGCAAATTTGAGCGCCCGATCCATCATGTCGTTCGCCTCGTTCTCACGAGCCTGCATTTCACAGTACACCACCCCTGCATTCGCACCCTCGCCATTGATGTGGTGAACCTCCGTCACGAAGCCGCTGTCCTTGAGGGTTGGGAACAGCACGTGGTCCAGATAGACAGGAAGGATCCTCAAGAAGCCCTCGCTGCCAGCTGTGTCCACAGTGTAGCAGGTGTGGTCCACATCCGTCCAGGCGTTGGTCCCCTGGGCGAGGCAGCGATTCGCGAGCACGTCTAGGACGCCCTTGTAAGGGTAGCGCTCGCTGCCGAGGAAGATCAGATGCTCCAAGGTGTGCGGCTCTCCATAATCAGTGAACGCTTCGGTCTGCACCGCAAAGTAGCCGTGCACAGTGGGGGACTGCACCTTGGCTTGCGCGACCCTTAGCCCAGTCTCCGAGCAGCGGTAGAGCACCACGGGCACGTGCTCGTACTCGAATTCGAACACTTTCTTGAACGTGCCCACGGCCTCCGGGGAAGCCGCAGCCGCAGAAGCCATCGCCACGGGCCTGCCGAAGCCTAAGGCCGGCCCCACGTCCTGCGAGCCCGAGCACGGGGAAGCACGGCGATTGTGGGGACGGCGGGTAGCAACGCCAGAGTGGGCACAGGCGCAGGAGGTCGTCGGCTGACAAGGAAGCTCCTTGCAGCCCCGGAGCAATCATGTCAGAAGCAGGGGGCCTGAGGCTTCGAAATATTCCCCACCAAATCCAGGAGGCCCCGAAGTGGAACTGCGAAGAAGCATGGAGCTACCCCGATCGCTTACACATCCTGATGGTTCGATGCCAACGGCCTGTTTGAATCCCAGGCACATGGCAGTGGATGGGGAGGGTGGGCGAAAAAGAACTGAAGGATACGGACGAAGACCACTCCCGCAAGCTAACCACGCAGCACGCGCACCTGCCTCTGCTATCAATCCAGCGCGGTGTTTCCTATCTTCACACACCTGCCTTCCCCAGACCCTCTCGCTTTTACCATTTGCGTTTTCGTGGGCCATGGCTTAGAAGGCCAACGGATAGTGGTCGACTTAATCGATCAGAATGGTCCTTCTGTCCTCCTCCTCCTCCTCCTCCTCGTCCTCCTCAGTATTGCCATCAGAACGAGTGTGGAAGGTCTTCCTCCCGAGGCACAGAACAGGGTGATGTTTAGGGTCGGTGCGCAACCAGCGCAGTCCACTCTGCAGAAACTTCAGCTTGAACTGGACGCGACAGGTCACGTGGATGCAACGTTCACCACACGTCGCCGCGGAAAGGAGGAAGTGAAAGGAAAACAAGTGGAGGAGGGGGGAATAGGAGGTGGAAGCGAAAAAGAGGCACAAGACGCACGGCGGGGAAGAGGACGGAGGACGAGGAAGAGGAGGACATAGTTGACTGAACATGGGCCCACCAAAGTCGAATGAACCGTCACGAGCTATTTGACCGAGTCTGGAGGCCCCCATGGGTCCCAGAGTGGTGACGTCTCACTCTCACTTCCGCCGCCTCCCGCCCGCAGACCCGCCACCTTCTCACGTCCGCCGCCATCCGGTCTTCCACCGCCTCCCGGCGAGGGCGAGACGCGCCGAGCGCCAGGCCCTCCCTGAACGCCCACTCACCTTCTCGACCCTCCCCCAGCAGATGCCGGCCGAGAGGCGCTCGGCCTGCCGCGCACGCGCGCTCCGAGCGGAGGGCAGGAAGCTCGGCCAGGGCTGGCCAGAGGAGCGGAGCACGACGGGCCGGCCGGCCGATAGCCACCGACCTCCTCCAAGCATGGTGGGGGAGCAGAAGCAATACCAATGGCGGGCCGCCGTGGGGAGCCCATCTGCGCGCGACTGGTGAAAAAGCACCATGTCCAATCTGTTCGGGCAAGAGCGCAGCAGTAACACGCTCGCGGGGTGCCAATGGCAGCGTGTCGTTGACACTCGACTTTCCTTCTCGGAAGGAGCTGGCCGAGAGACGCTCCGCCCGCCGCGCGCGTTCCGAGCGAGGGGGCCGGGAAGTGCCAAGCGAGGCGGCCACACGGAATGAGGAGCGCCGACAAGGGTCGGCCGGGCCTCCTCCGCGCGCCCGCACACGCGTAGGCTTCGGGAGCGCGCTCAACGAAGGCCTCTGAGGCAGCCGCAGGACCGAGCCGCTCCCGCCCTTGCAGGACAGTGCCCCTGCGTCCTGGAGGAAGGGCATCCTGGAAGTGCGTTGCCCTTTTCGGGCCCCTGGGGACCGTCCAAACGGCTCAGGGCGAAGAACTGGTCGTTGGGAAAGGCCAGGCGTCTGGGAATCGTTTCACTCAGGACCCTTTCCTTCATGGCGACTCCTCTTGCTCGCCCTCACAGGCACCCGCAGGAGCCAGTGCGGGCGACCTACCGAGTTCGGGCCACGACGGCGCAGTCCGCGCGGAAGGCCCCGCCTACGAAAGTAATCTCGGCAGAAACCCGCACAACTTCAGCCACAACGAACACCTCGGTCTGAAGCGCGACAACCGCCCCGATCCGTGCGGTAGCACCTGCACAATGTACCACCCAGTTCCCTGTTGATGCTTCCTGGCTTTTCCCAGCGACATCAGTCATCCTTCATAACGAAACGCTGTAACATCTCAGTCCTGTAGATGCCTCCCAAGCACGGACAAATTCCTCGCTCGCAGTGCATGGTAGACAACCGATGCGACTCCCACAACACTGGCATGGAAAACCCCTCGCCCAGCACATGCCGATCGACCAGTGGACCTCCACCTAGTACGCCGACTTCATGGTCGAGGGTTGCCCTTGGTGCCCCAGGCTGGTCGTCGCCGCATCCCAAATTTCCACACGGAGATCGCAAAGCTGAAGTCACAATGCACATTCCTGCACGTGCGACAAATCCATTCGCAAATGGCAATCCAAAGCTGAGGGAGAGAGAGCGAAAGAGAAAGCGCGTTTCACGGGCGCACACTTTGAAATTAGCCTGGCGAAAGACCCGACCAGATGCAGTTGTGAGTACCGCCGTTGTGGGTATCGTCTTCGGTATCGTCTACAATGGGCCAAGACATGCTCTACTAGGCGGGGAGACGCATGCGAACTTTGCCACTGGAGCCTTCGGTGGAGTTCCCCATTGGCCACGGAACGTTGTACTGGGTGGGGGAGACGCATGTGGACACCGCCACTGGGGCCTTAGGTCAAGCTCCCTATGGGGCGACGAAGCGCCGTGCTGGGTGGGGGAGACGCATGTGGACACCGCCACTGGGGCCTCAGGTGGAGCTCCCTATGGCGCCACGAAACACTGTGCCGGGTGGGGAGACGCACGTGGACACCGCCACTGGGACCATCGGTGGAGCCCCCTATGGGGCCACGAAATGATGTACTCGGTGGGGAGACGCACGCGGACACCGCCACTGGGCTTAGGTGGCATTCCCCATGGGGCCACGAAGCGCGGTGCTGGGTGCGGGGACGCATGTGGACACCGCCACTGAGGCCTCAGGTGGTGCTCACCATGGTGCCAAGAAACGCTGGGCTGGGTGGGGGAGACGCATTGGAGCTCCCTATGGGCCCACGAAGCGAAACGCTGTCGTGGGTGGGGGAGACGCATGCGGACACCGCCACGAGACGCTGTCGTGGGTGGGGGAGACGCATGTGGAAACCGCCACTGGAGCAGTAGGTGGAGCTCCCTATGGGGCCAGGAAAGTTGTGCTGGGTGTCGGAGACGTATGTGGACACCGCCACTGGGGCCTTAGATAGAGCGCCCATGGGGCCACGAAGCGCGGTGCTGAGTGGGGGAGACGCATGTGGACACCGCCACTGGGGCAGTAGGTGGAGCTCCCTATGGGGCCACGAAACGAAACGCTGTCATGGGTGGGGGAGACGCATGTGGACACCGCCACTGGGACAGTAGATGGAGCTCCCTACGGGGCCACGAAGCGCCGTGCTGGGTGGGGGAAACGCATGTGGACACCGCCACGAAACGCTGTGATGAGTGGGGGGGACGCATGTGGACACCGCCACTGGGGCCTGAGGTAGAGCTCCCTGGGTGGGGGAGACGCATGTGGACACTGCCACTGGGGCAGTAGGTGGAGCTGCCCATGGGGCTACGAAACGCTGTGCTGGGTGGGGGAGACGCATGTGGACACCACCGCTTTGGCCTAAGGCGGAGCTCCCTACAGGGCCACGAAAGGCTGTGCTGGCTGGGGGAGGCGCATGTGGACACCGCCACTGGGGCAGTAGGTGGAGCTCCCTATGGGCCCACGAAGCGAAACGCTGTCGTGGGTGGGGGAGACGCATATGGACACCGCCACTGGGACAGTAGATGGAGCTCCCTACCGGGCCACGAAACGCTGTCGTGGGTGGGGGAGACGCATGTGGACACCGCCATTGAGGCTTTAGGTGGAGCTCCCTACGGGGCCACGAAACGCTGTGCTGGGTGGGGGGGGGGGGCCTGTTGGGCCACGAAGCGCCGTGCTGGGAGGGGGAGACGCATGTGGACACCGCCACTGGGGCCTCAGGTGGAGCTCCCTATGGGGCGACGAAGCGCCGTGCTGGGCGGGGGGCATGTGGACACCGCCACTGGGGCAGTAGGTGGAGCTCCCTATGGGGCCACGAAACGCTGTGATGAGTGGGGGAGACGCATGTGGACACCGCCACTGGGGCCTTAGATGGAGCCACGAAGCGTGGTGCTGGGTGGGGGAGACGCATGTGGACACCGCCACTGGGTCAGTAGGTGGAGCTCCCAAGGGGGCCACGAAACGCTGTGCTGGGCCGGGGAAGCGCATGTGGACACCGCCACTGGGGCCTGAGGTGGAGCTCCCCATGGGGCCACGAAACGCCGTGCTGGGTGGGGGTGACGACGACGAAGCCATGCGGCGTGCAGAGGCAAGGGATGGGAGGAGGGAGGAGGGGGAGGAGGAAGGAAGGAAGGAAGAAAGAAAGGAAGGAACGCGGGGACCCTCTCTTCAAAACGAGGACCCAACACCACAGGATGGTTGGGAAAACTGCCCACCCACCCCTCCTCGGAGCCCAGGGGGGGTTAAAGTCCCCCACCTCGAGTGCGAAAAGCAACCCCCGCCAGGTTCGAAACCGGTGGGGGGGAAGCCGACGTCGACGACGACGACGACACGACAGCAGCGGCGCTGGCGGCGAAGACAACAACGACAACGAGGACGACGACGACGACGACAACGACGACGACAACGACGACGACGACACGACAGCGGTGGCGCCGACAGCGAAGACATCAACGACGACGAGGACGACGCCGATGTCGACGCCGGCCACGCCGAGCATGACGCCAAAGACGACGCCGAGCACGATGCAGGCAACGACAACGACGCCGATACCGACGCCGACGCCGATACCGACGACGACGACGACGACGCCCAGCGCCGACACCGACACCGACACCGACGCCCGGCGCCGACACCGACACCGACGCCGAGCATGACGCCACGCCGACTACGATGACGACGCCGACGCCGACGACGACGCCAAGCACGATGCCGACGACGCCGACGCCGACGACGACACCGAGCACGACGCCGAGCACGACGCCGAGCACAACGTCGACAATTACGTCGGCGACGGCGCCGACGACGACGCCGAGCACGACGCCGACGATGACGACGACGACGACGTCGCCGACGAAGAGCACGACTTCGAGCACGACGTCGACAACGACGCCAACGCCGACGCCGACGCCGATACCGACGACGACGACGACGCCCAG